GTATTGGCAGGGCATCTCTTTCTTTCTTTTCTTTCCTTCTTTTGCTCACTGAAAACTTTCAAGGTAGCATCTCTGATATGTCTTTTCTGTCTTTCCACAAGATCAAAACAGAATAGTCCATTATTTATAAGATTCTTGCAGGATGTAACTAAGGAAGAGGTGGACAAGCAGAATCATAATAATATTCTTCAAGTATTCAGAAACTTAAATTTGAGCATTAATTAGTCAATTGATATTGAATTAATTTCTAATGGATTAACCTGGACTCAGTATCACGGTGATAGGACAAAAAAATTGTTTCTTTTTAATTCATTTTACTCACTTATCTTCAGTCTGTTAACTTTACTGAATGTATTCACATTGGCTGTCTGTGGTTGGGTAGGCAAATACGCCTCCCCCAACCTACCAAGAAACATCCCCCCTCAAGTGTCATGCAGAAGCCATTGAGTGCAACTATCATTTTTCTTTTTCTCCTTTTCTTTTTGTGCTGATACCTTTTCCTCATCACCATGACATCGGTGAGAAGATAAAAATGATAGATGCAAGCATCATCAAAGCTAACAAAATGGCTATAAAAAAAGGCTCATATCTACAAGCAGCATTTTGGTGACGTTCAGATAGTTACTGATGAGGGGCATATCATGTTCAGGCCATCCCAGTAAACTAATTACACATCTGTGTTTTTATCACTTTAGCTTGATGAGACTGAGTGCCCACTGCAGTCTGTGGAATGAAGCCAAGATGAGGCCTGGGGAAGACCAGGATTCAGCATGCTCTTGATTCTGCTTGAAACCTTGTCATAAAAAGATGTCAATGTAAGGGCTAAATTAGCTCTTTCCTTATAAGGAAACATTTGACATTCATTGACCGAGCAGCCAGTGCCGCTTTTGGCTGAAACTCATACAATATTTCTTTTAAAATAGTTTTTCAGGAAAATAGGTCTTTCAAGTCATTTTCAAGCTGTCATCACTCCTTCCACTATTAATGGGGATTTCCTTCCTAAACTTATGTTTGAAATAGTGTGGAATATCAATAAGTTATGTCCCTTTGAGCTATATTAATTTTATGATGTCAATGAACACTCATTGCCATTTTTGTGAAACAAACAGTATTTAAGAATGCAGAAAAAGAAAAGTTCTAGATAGATTTTCTAGACTTAGAAAACCTAGAACCCTTTAAAATTATTGCCTTTCGTGATGCCTCTTTTTGCCAATTTGACTGATGGTTGATCACAATGAGTGTATATACTCTTTTTGATAGGAAGTATTAGTAAATATATGCCCATTGCTTGGCAATCAAAATGTATTAGAAGAGTCGTAAAAAGAACTCTAGCAGCCAAAGCCTTAGCCATAGTTGATGCAGCAGAAGCATGTCTTTTTTTTTTTATTGGAAATGTTTATTAGAACTGTTGCAAGTTGAAGATAATAATAAAGATATACAAATTATATGTAAAACTGACAATTTCTGTCTCTATGATGTGGTACATTCATCAACACAAACTTTGGATAAGAGACTTTGTATAGGAATAGATATTTTGAGAGAAATGATAGATAGAAAAGAAATTGCCAAAATCTCTTGGATGCCAACTGATGTACAAACTGCAGACTTATTGATAAAGAAAAGAGTACGATAATTTAGGATTTTTGGGTTCATATCAGAGCCTAAGGAATCACCTATTTGATGGATTTACATTCTCTTATATATATATTTTGTTTTTGCAGATTAATATATATATATATATATATATATATATATATATATATATATAAAAAAAAAAGCTAAACACTAATATCCCATGGTATATTACTTTTTAAACCTTTTTATTATATCCTTACTCTGTCCTGGACATTGAGTTCTACCTGGATTCTATCCTGTTGGAATTATTTTTTATACATATATATATATGTATGTATGTATGTATATTTATATATTTTAGATTGCATATGTATGTGTATATTTACCACTAATATTATCACTCTATCTATCTATCTATCTATCTATCTATCTATCTATATATATATTATATATATATATATATATATATATATATATATAGAGAGAGAGAGAGAGAGAACTGTTAATCTTCACGAATATCTCTCCTTGGCAACTCTTCCACTGGGAAAGGGATTGAGTGACCATTTTAGATATGGCACAAATGTAGAGAACAAATAACAGTCTGAATAAAACATTCTCTTTCCATTATGTCCCCAAATTCCTTTAATTTAAATTTACACCATGTATTAGACAGATGTGCAATGATAAAGTGTTAGAGATAATGTAAACATAAAGGACAGGGCACTTAACATCAGAAAAAGGTAGTTGAAATTTCTAGGACACATAATGAGGAAAGAGGGCTTAGAAAATCTGATACATACAGTACATATTGAAGGAAAGAGGGATGGAGGAAAACAATACATAAACTACCTAGCAAGATTGAATAAATGGATGGCAGAACAGGGTTTAGGAGAGATAACATAAAGACAAAATTTATTAAAAGTTGCAAAGGGCAGGAAATTGTGGAAAGCCATGATCATTCATGTCCAGAAGGGACATGACACATAGAAGAAGAATATGAGATTAAAATGACTGTGTGTTACTAGACTGAGCTGTATCTGTGTATATTTTTGTGATAAGGTTATACATTATTTGAACTTTTGTCACCATATTTATTACCAAATAATATAAAGCCAATAATTTAAATAGTGTAGACTGAGCTGGTTTGAAAAATAGAAATGACCATACTGAGAAAGAAACAGTAAAATATAAATAAACAGATTGGAAAAAACAATTAGATAAATAGAAAGCTTTCTATGGACTGAGATCGATAATGTCCATGTATATCCAAAAATCTTTGGACTAACCATATCAGATTTCATTGTTTAGATGATTTAACTGTAAACCAAATAAATCTTTGTAGAAATAGACCTTTGTACAATTTTCTATGCTTTTCAGTTTGGTTGTAATGCTCACAACATTTCTGTTCTCTAAACTTTGGCTTTCTTAGTGTATTCGTTCTAATTGGTAACCTTCTCAGAATTTTTGAACCAAACTCTTTATTCAGTTTAAATGAGTAAATTCGTCGTCTTCTTCCATTTTCTATTCTTAGACATATCTGTTTATTTTCTTTCATCTCTTTGACTTTGTCGCTTGTCCAGTTCTTCTACTGCATCAGAGAATCTGACTTTCTCGCATTCCTTGACCCAGGAATTGAACCAGTTGTACTTTAACCAATACTTTATTCCACTCAGTCATTTGGACAATCTAACAGTGACATTTTGGAGTCTTTATAAACTCATATCAGAATTCAGATGGTAGAATCTTTGAGTGTGTTTTCTTTCTTAGACAGAAGTTCTCAGATTCTATTTATCTTTCTGCTAGGTCTACTGAGAAGGTTGTCAGGGCCTAACATGTGTGAGGATTCTTTCAGTAATCTTATTCTTCAGTGTTGTTCACCATCTATTATCTTGACTTCATTCCACAAAACTTTGAAAAGCTGAAGTTTGGAAGAGGTATAGAGATCAAGCTTAGCAAATTGTTGGGAAAAGGTTGGTCAACAATAAACGGGATGAAGTTTAGATAATAGATGGAGAAAAAAATCTGAAAGATAGAAACAACTGAAAGAATCAGCAGACATGTTAGGTTTTGATAACCTCTTAAATAGACCTATCACAGAGATGATTACCACATGGCGCCTCTGGGTTGGATTGTGCTGAAAAGTCATATAGCCAGACTCAATAGGGATACAGGATATACAATTGACAGTGTTTAGCAAGAACTGATATATGTCCTCAGTATAGAAAGTGTAATGTGAACAATTTCTTCTTCTTTTATGGGCTGTCTCTCTTCAGGATGTAGGGGATCATGACTCTCCACTTTCTGCCATCCCTTTTACAACGGGAGTTTCATATTAATCTTGCTAAACTCGAATACTTTTCTGAATTGAATAAAGAGTTCCGTTCAAAATACCAAGGAGGTTGTCAAGAAGAAGGCTAGAGAGTACATCGTCCAGAATATTGTGAGAGTAACAATCAAGTTGATCCCACTGGTCCAAATAGAAAGATATAATAATGATATTTCTTCATATAAGAAAAAATTTCAGCAAAAATTAACCTTGTCCGAATTAAGCAGCTATAAAAATATTTCTCATTATACTTAATACCAGGTAGAGAAATAAAAAAAAAAAAAACCTCTCAAGGATGGGAAGATGAACAAAAAGTACCCACAAAGTATTTAACTAACTTTGCTTTGCAAGATGAACTTAGTAATCTCATTATTTGAATTTGTGATTAGGTTTCATGAGTGAATATATTTTTGGTTTGATTGCAAAAACAGTTAAGTAAAAATTCTAATGGATCCACTTTCAAATGAATATTGTGTTTCTTTATTTCACATATTTAAATCACTTTGGTTGTTTTCAGAAATAGCTGAGCTGAACTTTGGTCGCCATATGTATCATTGTCTCCTTGATCTGATCTCTGCTAATTGACTACTGAGCCAAGACAAGTTTGGCTCAAATATAATAAACTCAACAATCTTCTCTCTCAACCACTTTCTTTCTGTTGGTAAGCTGTCATGTTTCAAACCACTTGCATTGGTACACTTAATGTATTTTGATCATGACAATGGATTCCTGAGTCGTTTTAAATCCGTTTTGGAAACTTTTTACAAGCTTTCTGTTTGGAAATTTGCTGTGGTGGTATTAAAAGTTGATGATCGTCTTTGCACTAAGATACATGTGTCTTTTATTCCTTTTTTGTTGGATTTTTTTTTCTAAGAGAGAGAGATGATGGTGTGGGCTTGAAATAAAATATAGTGGTTTTTACTGGCAGAAACACATTATGCCATCTGGATCTGTGTGTCATCTGGAAGCTAAGTTTGGCGATGGAATTATGTTCTTGGTGTGATCAGAGTTTTAATATTAGAATTTTGAGCAGCTTATCTCTGGGCCGAAGAGGAATGGCAAGTGTGATATATTGCACTTTCCTTACTTTCTCTTTGAGATTCTCTCTCTCTTGCTCAGTTTCTGTTTTAGATTGATTTTCATTTTGGCTATTTCTTTCTCTCTCTCTCTCACCTCCTCATTCTCTTTCTCTCTTAACCTTACTGTATTGACTATTACTCTCTCTCTCTTTGACTATTACTCTCTCTGCATCTTAAAACTTCTCTCTATTTCTCTTTTTCTCCTCAACTTGAATCTTCCTTTTTCTATTTTCTCTCTTCTGTCTGTCTGTCTTTCTCATTTGCTGTGTAATTCTCTTCACTCTATCGTTCCCTATTTCTCTCTTTCTCCTCAACTGAAATGTTCTCTTTATCTAACTTTAACCTTTTCTCTCTCATCCATTATTTCTCCGCAACTTGAATGTCTCTTTTGTTTACTATTTCTCTTACCATCTCTGCCAGATTCATCTATTTTCTTTATTTTTCAGTGATTTGTCAAATTTACTAATCTGTATACATATGTCCTGGATATGACATTAAAGTACATTTGGTGCTGAGGCTCCATCCTAAAAGTTCTGGAGAGTGTGAAGTCAACCCTCGATTGCTATTACTCTTAAATCTACTCTGATTTGAAGTGGCAATCCAAGTTGTGGGTCAGATAGATCTGTCTATGGAAAACAGGGTTCAAGACTTGTTATGCTAACTGGGAGAGAGGAACTCCTAGACTTTGTTAAGAAAGAACTTGAAAACCCGTGGCGTTGATTACATCCAATGATTTACATCAATTTTTTTTGTTTTTTCTTTTGTTATAGACTGTTGTTTTACAGGTTGATTCCCAAAAAGGGAAATATAGCTCAATGGAAGTTAATAACAAAGTGGCAGAAAATGTGGGTCCCTAGGTAGGCTCAAAATCCACATTAATGCTTTACACTGGAGAAACTGTGGAATGTTGTGATGACTTGGAAATGAGGAAATACTATTATATATATATATATATATATATATAGAGAGAGAGAGAGAGAGAGAGACATTTCAAGGAATAATTTAGACAAATTTTGTTTACTTATATTCAATTGGATCCTTTCATATTCACAGACCAGCTTTTTGGTGTTCATCATTTTCAAAGACAAAATTAGAGTATTTGATGGCTTGACTCACATTTCAGGGGATGTGTGTCGAGAGTTTTGAAGAAATAAATATTAAAACTATGAGTGAAAACCTTGATATTTCAAACTATATATTATACACATTTTAAAACATTTGTGCAGTATTTATAATTAATTTAAAAAAAAAAAAACCCATGTTCTGAAGATACGTCGACGATAACCTTATTAGTCAAGAATATGGAAGAAATACACAAGGCTCTAAAAACCATTCCGAGATAATTCTGTCCTTGTTAAAAGTATGGAATATATCTCAATGAAAATATGTTGCCAAAATACACACACACACACGCACACACATATATATATATATATATATATATATATATTAAAAAGAAGTGAGATACCACAAACGTTTTTGGTTGTAATGTGGACTTTTTAAAAAAAAATAATATGTTTTATTTTCCATAATTTTACTACACAGGTTTCTGGTCTCGTGCCCGTCATCAGGTAAAGGGTGTAAATTTCCACATATTATTAAAAATAATTAATTTTTTTCTCCTTTGTTTTTCGATGTTAAATATTCTCAATATGAGACATGTTCTTTTTTTTTGTGTGTTGTCTTAAAAATCCACATTACAACCAAAAACGTTTGCGGTTTCTCTCTTCTTTTTAATATACACATTTTTCTCTCATTGGAACTGCTATACCCCCTTCTTTATATATATATATATATATATATATATATATATATGTGTGTGTGTATGGTTCTTTGTAAGAATTGACTACTATAGCGGTTGGTATGGCGTTTATATATCAAGTATATAATGCATTAAAAATTGCCTTTCTCTGCCATACAGTGATAGTCAAGGGGTAAGAGTCTCGGATGTAAACAGTCTAACCACACTGATGAGCTGTGATACAGCAAAACAGGCTGACTGTGGATGACTATAAGTAAAACAGTACTCATATGTTACTACTTTTCATGACTAAAAGTTTCTTGTGCACACTTTGTTGTTTGGTGCTGTTGACTCATAATTCTCAGGTGGCAAGAGTGATGAGATACTCAGTTTCTTATATAATAATAGGGTGGGTGGAAAGACACTCCCTATTTTGAACAGTATATTGGTAGAAGTATGGTACAGTGTTAAAATTCTGCATTCTCGGTTTTGTCCGCCAGTGTTTATGATTGTCTTGGTATATCCTTGAACATTTCTTTCCCCATACGGATGATGAAGGACAATTGTTTCTGTCGGTATCTTACATAAATCTTTTATTCATCAGCTTGGAATTACGATTTCTGATGGTTTTGGCATCAGTTGTGGCACAATGTCCATGACCACTGTACCACCATCTCTGCACTTGTACCACAAACTGCCACACTTTGTAACAGAAGGCTAATTGTACACACTCCTACAGTATCACGCATTGTGCCATTCTCGGCTCCACTTGTAACTCTAAAATAAAAACAGAAATTAGCAATAAAATTCTATTCCTTTAGGGATAACAATATATTTTGTTTTATGCAAATGTGGTGATATTAACAAAAATTATAAGCAGTTTTCAATAGGGAGTCTCTTTCCACCCATGCAAGTTGATCGGTCACCTGTCGAAACTCAGTGCAATCCATGCACACATTTACCAATATATCATGAATGACTAAAATGTAACTATCAACATAACACAAATATTTGTGGATAGCACCAAACGCAAGCACCCAACGCAAGGAAAGATTCAAAACTCTAGAAGCTATTATTAGACTAAATAAATCCCCCCCCTTTATATAAAATGTTATTCACCACAGGAGATGGTATCTTATATTAAATAAATAAATAGATTGCATTTTTTTGTGTTGCCTCATTCCTGACAGCTGTTACACATGACAACATGCTCAAGCATGCAGATTCCCAAAGAATATCAGGAAGCAGACAAAGGAATTTTAATTACCACACAAACACCAGATTGGTTCTTGATAATGATTGCAAAATTTGAAAATACTTGAATGAAAATAACAAAATATGAACACTTTGGACAGTTTATCCACAACTTCCAGCATAATAGTCAATACCTTATCCAAAAATTAGACTGACATACCACTCAGTTATTTTCAATCAAACTTGTTTGATATATATATATATATATATATATATATATATATATATATTGATTTTCCAAGCACAGCTTAGATGTGGCACAAAGCCAAAAGTAGAGGCACCAAGTGAGAATCGAACTCACAACTCAGTCATAATTGTTTTAGTGAGACAAGCTTGTTAACCATTACACCACCTCAAGGTGGCCATATATATATATATATATATATATATATATATATATATATATATATATATATATATAAAAAAAATGATCATTCGCTGTTTGCTATTCATTTCTATTTTAGTCCTTCACATTCAGTTTTTCTTTCCTTTCTCTTTATAAAAACTTATCTTGACTCCTGTCAAATTACCTTTATCATATGAAGCCAGTCTTTCAATACTTTACCTTGACTCTTTCACTCTGTTTTTTATTTTTATTATTCTCTTCCTCACCTTCCATTTTTTTTCTGATCCTTATTTCATCTGGTTCTACATTTGTATTCTTTCTTAGATCTGCATGATATGGAATACACACAGTTGTTGGCCATGTTTTCCTACATGTTATATTTGCAAAGATTTTTTCCTCATGTCAAGCTGCTCTGAATATTGTCCTGATATTTTATATTTTCAGATTTTCTGATTCCTTCCCAATAAGCATTTGTTTTTCTACAATTTAGGCAACAATAACTTTTTAAAACAATGCTATACCCTTTCAAAACACATATGATCATGGCTCTCCCTATCTTTAATATGCATGACTATTTTTGTGGGTTGGCGTGGAGTGATTTGCCATTGCTAGCTCTATAGTTTTCAATTCAGAGTTGTCATGAAACTTAAAACTAGAGAATTCAGTCTACTCTGAAATAGCTAGAGTGGATTCATGCCTTTACCAAGAGTGTTAGCGTGAAGTGAATACAACAGACTTTAATAGCCTTTGAACATGTCTTACTGACTACATTTTTGTCAATAACCATTACAATACTTAGATCAATAGGGACTAGACAAGGTATCCCTTGACATGGTTAGTGGAATGAGAACATCTGTCCCTGTAGATTAAATAAAGTGTTCAGCTCAAAATTCCCTGAAGATGACCCAGATCGATAAGCAATCGATGAAGTTATCAACAGACAAAATATTAGAAAAAGTTGGTGATTCAAGCAAGTTTTTGAAATTATCACAAGCTTTGTCTATGAAACTCTAGTGTAGAGGTGCTGAATATAACATCAGTCAACTAAGTGACAAATGTTATATTTGTATTAATCATATACATATGATAATAGTTGGCCACCCGTAATCGAGGATAGCTGTCTACTAGGGTGGCTAGCCAATCCCTATTGCAGACTCTCACTCAGACACATTTGTGTTTATTCAACACCCACAGAATCAACCTGTGGTTTATACTTCAACTATGCTGAGCAGACCTTAGTTACAGTTTCTGGGAGAGAGCGTGTTGTCTAGCGTGATCAACAGTCTGAACAAGAACAGCACACTCAAACCCTCGGTCATGATGACTTGTGACATCGTGCTAGCACAGCTGTCGACGGCTCCCAAGGGTTCTGTCTACCCAATTTCACTCACAAGGCTTGGGTCAACCCATGGTATGGTTTTCAGGCACTTTCCAAAATTGCTGCACACAGGGACTATATATATATATATATATATATATATATATATATATATATATATAGGTTCCACCAATAATTTGGTATACCTAAAGTTTAAATATGTATATTTTTATAAATGAAAAACCTTTCTTGAAGCTTTAATTGAAAGCTAAATGATTAAATTCACTATTTCCAGCAAACAAAATACTCTGTAGCATATTTCAAACCAAAATTCTATTGATTGAATCCAGTTCATTTTTGGGGGCTAAAAATAACTGATTAGTGCCCCTTTTTTAGCCATCTATCATTGCAATGAATTTTTCTTTATTAAAAAACCTCCTAAAAATAAAATATACTTTATCTGAAACTTTATGTGAGGAATATAAACTGATTTAAAGTATAATTAATCTGATTTGAAACAAATATTATTTACTTGAAGTTGAAAATAAGAGAAATGGATTTTTAAAAGAAACAGTGCATGTCAACACCTCATAAATCACTTGAGTGATTTATAAGGTGTTGATACTTATTATTGTTCTAGGGAGACCTTATCTCTTAAAATTTAATTTAAGAAAATGATGGGGTGAACACTATTTTATATAACTTTTGAGTACTCAGTAATCTTAAAAATATTCTCCATAATCTAATTTTAGGTATGTTGACTTCAAATTGACTGTCATGATTGATCTTA